CACTGACAAACGATGAAGGAAAACATCGTGAACCTGGGCTTATAATTTCTAATTTTAAGTATGTAATCGCTAACCCGCATTGAGCAAGCGTGGTGATTAATGTTCAAACCTTCTCCGTGTGAGAAGAGGCTTTGCTCAGCAGTGGGCAGTTATAGGCTGTTGATGTTGATGATGATGATGATGATCCTACTAATATTATTAATGTCAAAATTTGTATGTTTCTTTGTTTGTTTTTTACTCCTAGATGTCATAACGGCTGAAGGGATCTTAATGGAATTTGGTACAGGGCTGATTTTTATCCCCGGGAACGCAGGTTGCAGAAGTTGCTGGCGGAAGCTAGTTTGGTTATAGTTTGGTCTCCTATTGCAATGTTTCTACATGACATTGTTGTGTAATAATTATTTATTTCCTTACTAATATTATAAATATTAAACTGTGCTTGTTCCTTTTACTTTCACTTCTAGAAGGAGCGTTATTATTCGTGATTTTGAGGAGGCTGGTAAAATACTTTTATTTCTTTTAGCCTCGTAAGTTAAACCAAGGGCGGAAAACTAGTAAAAAAATATATGAAAGAGAAAATAAGGTACCTACAGATAAAAGTGAACAAGAGAACACTTTCATAACTGTAGGTTTAATATTGGTTCGTACATGGATTTTATCGCGATATTATTTAAGATAGACTGAACAGCTGGATTTTTGGGAACTGCTTAGTCATAGGTAGTCCCCCGAACTTGTAGCTTGACAGATGCTAGTGACTAGTGACTGCTGGTATAAATCTAGTCATCATATGTGTGTGTTTGTGACCATCATGTCCATCTGCAGTGTTTCGTCACCACATTTGTACAATCATTACAACAAATGCTATCTTCATTTTGTTTTTAGGTATTTCAATTATGAAAATCACTATTTTTCATTAAACATACGTTGACTGAACGGTTGGCGCGATGGCTGGGCAACCGGCTGCCGCGAAACGTGTAGCGGGTTCGATTCCCGCATGGAGCAACTTTTGGGAGATCGACAAATTGTTGTTTCGGGCCTGTGTGTCATGTGTATGTGAACTTGTATATTTGAAAAAGTATCAACGACACAGGAGAAAATCCTAGTCTGGGGCAACGTTTTTTTTTTTTTTAAAGACAAAATCTACGTAATTGTATCTGATGTTCTGCAAATTCTATTACACTAAAAACTAGTGGTTCGTCCAAGCTTCATTCAAATGTTTTCGGCGTCTTTCCCAGTTAAATTTTATTTTTTTAACATAAGATCACGCCTTTTATCTCCGTAGGGGTAGGCAGAGTTGCATATTATGCCACTGTACATTGTAACACCCGCTTTTCACTATTTATGTTATGAGTCCCATGTAATAGAGGGTAAGCCTATTGCCATATACCGGGCACAATTCCAGAATCTTTTTAAAAACCCAGTTTATCTTTGCCCGACCCGGGAATCGAACCCGAGGCGACCCTTTGTCCGGCAGTTCCACTTGCGACCACTCGGCCAACGAGTCTGACATTGTATTTGTTTAGTTAACCCAAATCTTGTCCTGACAACAACGAACAGAGCAAAATAGAATTGTCCAATGTGATGCATTCATTCGAGGGTATTGTGTGTACATCGGGAGATTGATTTTATTTTATAATACTTATATTATTAATAATATTTTATACATATTCATCAATGTGTATGACTGTACTTAGCATTGAATTACACAACTCAATTCATGCGTATCCTGTTTAATATCTATTTCTGCGAATGCCCGAATTGTCGGGAATTGAAGACAATAACACATTTTGGGATTTACATAGGTATCTTTTTTTATTTTATGACGGGATGGGAAACCTTCAAAAGGCGTCTAGCTTTTTGGGGATAATTGATACACCTAACATATTTTATGTTCATTAATAAGAAGTGCTTGTAATGGTACTGCAGGTCGCGAGTACGATTGTTAACAACATTGTCTGACTTTTATAGAGTTTATAAACCGTATTATTAAAAGTCAAAATCATGATAATACAGAGACGAAGTCTGTATGTAAAGTATGTAGTGTGCATAATGTATATTTATATGTAAAGCGTGTTTTTAAACCATTTTATTTAGCTGGACCCATTTTTTTGTTTGAATTTTTAGTAATTTTAATTTTACCCACTTCCTTACGACAGACTGCCTCGTTGGCCGAGTGGTCGCAAGTGCGACTGCCGGGCAAGGGGTTTCGGATTTGATTCCCGGTGGGGCAAAGTTATACTGGTTTTAAAAAAAAAATCTCAGTAGTAGCACGGAGTCTAGAATTGTGCCCGGTATATCGCAATAGGCTCACCTCTGTTATATGGGACTCATAACATAAATAGTGAAAAGTGGGTGTTACATTGTACAGTGGCATAATGTGCACCTCTGCCTACCCCTTCGGGGATAAAAGGCGTGATGTTATGGCCTTATGACAGATTGATCTGATCTTTGGTACACATTCTGGTCATCTTGATGACCATCTTATATTACAATATACTTCTCCCACATGATGACCTCCATTATGGATGTTAAATGAAAGGGTAGAAAAGTTCATTAATGACATAAAAAATATTTTTATGTATTACTTGTTATGGTGTAAACGAGCAGACCGATCACTTGATCGTAAGCCATCGACGTCGCCCATGGACACCCGGAACAAGAGGAATTACAAGTGCATTATAGACCTTTACCGGCACCTACTGGCCACTGCCCAGGTTCACATCTAGGCTGATAAGATAATGATGATGATGCCGGCTGGTTTTGGGGATTTAGAGAGTCTTGTAAGCCCAAAAATACACTTATTTATTCAACGACTACAAGGAGGTACCGCTTCTCCGACTCCAACGTAATTCGGCCGAGTTATTAAGAGGTTATTAAAAAAATTGCTTACAAGTGAACATTTAGCCAATAAAACAATACACAGCAGCGGTCCTTGGTTTATCTGAGAGTTTTAAACTATGATCTCCAACTCGCCTGCCATGCGTAGAGATTATAAGAAACAGTCTCATGTAGAGGAAGCCCGCAGTCCAGTTGACGACTGTCAACGGATGGTGATGATGATTTAACCAAAGACAATGATAGACTGCACATTTGGCGCGGTGGTTGTGCAACTGACTGCCGCGCAACGTGTCGCGGGTTCGATTCCCGCACGGAACAACGCTTTGTGTGATCCACAGATTGTTGTTCCGGGTCTGGGTGTCATGTGTATGTGAACTTGTATGTTTGTAAACGCACCCACGATACAGGAGAGAATCCTAGAGTGGGGCAACATCTTTAAAAAAAAATTCAATAGTGCAGTAACTTAGTATGGCGTAAAGGCTGCTGTCCATGTAACCACATGGCATACGTACGCTTTCGTCAATTGATGAATGTAAGACGAATGCTTGCATCTTGAAACGCCGCTGTTGGGTTGCGGTAACATCGCACCAACCGCAAGTCATGCTGACCTTCCTAATTATAAACATAACATAACATAACATCACGCCTTTTATACCCGAAGGGGTAGGCAGAGGTGCACATTATGCCACTGTACCATGTAACACCCACTTTTCACTATTTATGTTATGAGTCCCATGGAATAGGGAGTGAGCCTATTGCCATATACCAGGCACAATTCCAGACTCCGTGCTTCTACTGTGAATTATTTAAAAACCCAGTAATATTTTGCCCGACCCGGGAATCGAACCCGAGACCCCTTGTCCGGCAGTCGCGCTTGCGACCACTCAGCCAACGAGGCAGTCTTAATAACAAATATGCAATATTTTGCAGGTGTCATTTGAAAGATGCATGTATTAGTCAAATAACGCAGCGTGGACATTAGCCCTATTGCAATTATGCGCAGCGTGATAGATAGGTACCTAAATAAATTGTAGACAAAACCATACATTATCTGCTTATCCAAGAAAATAGTCTAGTCTAGTAGTAAAAAGTTACGGACGCTTAAGTTTAAATACAATTTACACAATTGAGCGAAATAAACTTTTTAAACTAGAAACCGGAAAATGTCAAGTTGGCGCCCAACAGGGACTGTACGTACAGGCTGATACTATTTTAAAATTTTTAATTCTTTTAAAATAGTTACATTTAACATATTTTGGTCAAACAATTTTGTCTATTAAATCGATTTATACTTAGTAATTACACTGTTTTGCGTTAGGCATGTTGACCATCATCGGCAAAAAAGTTAAATTTAAAGTTTTACGAGACCAATTTTGGACAAATTATTTTGTCAAATAGTTGTAACAAGAAAGTGACGTGACAATCAAATCCTAAAAAATAACATTGTAATAAAACAAAACAACATTAAAATTGTAAAGTTGTGCCGATCCATCAATCATCGTTAACGTAATATATCTATAATCTTCACTTACCTTACAGTAACGCTACCCTAGGTACCGTACATAAAGGTACAAACATAGTTTCAAATACGTCAGCATTTTACTACCAAACTACTAACGACATTGCGGAAGTGACGCCGAACAATTACATCGAATACAAATTCAAATTCAAATCAAGATCTACACAACTTCCGGGTACGTCACACACCGCTGCATTTGTCCAAACACGTAATCAAACCGCCACAACACGGCACGGACCCCGCAATAGACTGCAAACATTCGAAAAGTTCGGCTTCGTCCGTTGTTAAAGTTCAATTTCTTAGCTCCCGTCCACAATGGCTATCGCGGGCATTCGCACACGTCATCACGCCGTGTCCGGTCTCTCCCCCAATAAATGAAATTTAACAGAATGAGGGAAAAAAATCAATACGAACACTAGTCAGTGGATATCGGGCACTATCGCAGCCCCTCTAATTTACTACCTACGATAAAAACAATCCGGCGGTGTGTGCGTGGCTGCGTGCTCGCACACGCTCTGCTCGACCTATCATATTAACTGCTACAATATTCATGCGACATTATGAACGCGCCCTTATGTAATATATCGCACATCAATAATTCCCAAACGCGATTGATTTCATGAAAAAAAAATAAAGTACTCACGGATACAGCAGCCGTCAAATGTTATGAAAGTTGAGCATTGTTAGTGGACCCCGGCGAGGTCGTCGAACCCGCCGAACTCGATGACAAACACACAGTCCGCCATGTTGTATTTCAAAACGTCAATTTTTTTAAATTTTCCAATCGGCGAACTGTCAAACTCCGGCCGGCCGAAACTTGGTCGAACTTAAACCGCCTAATACTCGAAAAATTCCCTCCGTAAAATTTTGCGCCTCAACTCCTTTTTGGTGTAGTAACTTTATGTTTACGTTGTAATTACGCCTATCTATAAACACTTTATTATTGTATAAAACGGTATAAAAATATTAAAATTATGAACGATGGAAAACTTGTAAATTAAAACGAAATATAAATATATATTAATAATAATATAAACGTACTAGCGGCTCTGAGTGCGAGCGCCTACTGACTTAAAATTTTTGGGTATAAAAACATGCTACAATAGCCTCCTGCGGGAGTGAACGCTCTTGATACTTTCACCGGCCGGAAAAATCGCACGCGTGCGGGAACATAGAGGAAATGTGGACGGACGCGCAATCGAAACTGATCCCTAATTTGTACGGCCTAAGATTCCTTTTAGATAGAGAACAGGTTTTGGCTCTTCTAAGAAATAATGATTTATTTAATTAATAAATATATTATTTTTAAACTTTATATATTGAACCACGAGCATCTTGAGTTAAGGAATTGTATTAAAATCGGAAGTAACTTTAATACAATCTTTTATGAGTATTATTCATTTATTTTTTTAAAACTATATTAAACCTAAATATTGTGGTGCAATTTCTCGATCAGTTAATAATTGGCCCACAAATTAACCGCGATTGTAAGTACAAAAATTAACACAAATAAACTTTCTATAAGTATTTACCCGTTCATAAATTTTCACTTGTTACACCGCACATTGCAAAAACACCACATTTAACATTAAAACTCTACAAAATATAGCGAAACAGAACACTTTTCATTTCCAAAAAGAAAGTGAGAGTGATAGTGAAAGTGTAAACGACCAAGACTGGCGGGGCGGTGTACAGGCACGCATGTGTGCGTGTGCTAGGGGGCGCGCGGGGTGTGCGGGCGCGGCGCGGCGGGGGAGGGGGTGAAATTTTTCGTTTTTCGCCCACTTTTCCGTCCCGCTCTAGTTTTTCGTCTCCCTCATTTTTTCTTCGCCCGCTTTCTTCTTCCTTGTGCCCCACCACATGTGTGCTGCCCACAGTATACGCACGGCTTCAAGAACAAAATCCATTCGTTTCCGGTTTGATCTAGCTTTTGTTTTACAATTATTATCTTGCTATCTTTGTGGGAGAATGTGCCGTTAATACATGATCCGTGTTATCTTTTATCAAATCTCTGTAGCTTAAACTAGTGGCAGCTGTGGAAAAATACCAGGGTTTCCCATTTCTATTTTTTTATTTATCTTATCTAGACTGCTGTTTCAACTGCATAAGAATGATAACCGGGGGCACCCCTACACCTTTATGGTGATAACAGTTTCCAATCAGTTGGATATGAAAGGAAATGACCATCAACTATTGTATTAATAATAATAGATGCAATACAATGTGAAGCTAATTGTAGCTTTTTGAACAGCAGTTTTAAAACATAAAATACTGCTGAGCTTTCCATTTTTATATATTGGCCAATTTAACTTACCTTGCCCTAATTTCAGTATTTAAACAATTTATTTTTTTCACAATCTGCACCACAACGCTATTACTTCCTATTCGATCAAAACAAACCACGTTCCCCAAGTTTATCTGTTTTCCTTACATATACCGCAGCGAGTTCGCGGGCGCCCGTCCTCCTTCCTCCATGGCGCCTTACAGATATACAGTGTGTTGCTTTATACAAACCTATTTTTATTTTAATTAATTGTAATTTATTGCTTTTGTTGTCAAGTGGACGGTGTGGTGGGTTCGATTTTAATTCTGATTTTAGTAAGGCTAATAGATTCGTTTAGGTAAGTAGGACTTATTAAATTCAGTAGTTAAAATTGTAAAATGGAATGATGGGAGAGAAATTCCATTTATGGTTGTTTCCTTAAAGATGTGTTTGAAATTTGATGGACGTAATATACAACTCCTATGTTCTAACACATTAAACAACCTCCGGGTATAATAAGCTTTAAAATTAACTTCACTAAAAAGTGATTAATTTTAACATCAAACGCTATATTTCAAAGAAAACTAACACCACGCTATCAGATACCATACTAACTATATGTATGGCCCCACACAAAACAATCTCCGACCACACATCACAGGCCGCCAGCAAGATAGCAACAACGCTATCTTATCACAAATCACTAAGCAACAAACCGCTAACATAGAACACCCTCTATCACCAGCAGAACTAGGAAACGAGGGAGTAAGTACACACACCCACCACCCAGGGGGGGGAGTACATGGCAAATACGCGAAAGCAATAGGACTTTTAAAAATTCTCCAGAAATATGATTTATGTGTTGACGGCAACGCGTTTCTCCCCTCAAGGCCGGGGGACTGATTCGATTTTTAAACCACCCTGTGTAGGCTGTAGGTTTTTGAATAAAAAAAAAAATTATATTGTTTTTTTTTCTCGGCGTCTTTTTTTTAAATTGAATTCGGATTTGTTCCGTTCTATGTAAGGAATTTCGTGCTATAGTTAGGTAGGCAGAGGAGCCTAAAATTCTCGTTCCCTTGTTCATAATACAATATTACGTCATCTCATTACTATTGTAAGGTCGGTATCATGCAACGTGGCTGGAAGGTGCATCGGTAACTGTCCGCCGCCACGTCGTAAAATATTAAGTTGTAAGGGAGAGCTCACTGTACTTGTACTGACGCGGATATCGACACGACCCTGAGAGACATCACGAACTATAATTTACCATCTTTAAACATTATTTGACTAAGTCGTTTCAACTCAACATTGTACTAAACACTATTGACAATAACTACTAATATTTTAAAACTAACGCTACATAAGGCCAGTATTTCCCATCTAACTACACTAAGAAGAAACAAGGAAGAAGGTCAAAGGTCATAATCTCTTTTAAAGTCCAGTGTATATCACTAAAACTCATATTACATACATACATAACATCACGCCTGTCTCCCATGGGGGTAGGCAGAGACTATGGAACGCCAATTGCTACGATTCTTACATATCTCTTTCGCTTCATCAACAGTCATCATCTCATATTAAAAACCATAAATATGTTAAAAATCCTCTTATTAGTACTCATAGTAATCTTTGAAACGTATTCAAAATATACATCTAAAATAAACACTGATAGTAAGATCACAATCTAACGGCTGCTTACTCATATATCGCTAACCTATTATCGCCTTTATTTCCTTACATACACGGACGATAATCCTTAACACGAGAGTCTGTGGTTATGTTCTACCTAGAAATATGTTATTGATAAAAATGGTCTTATAGCTGTAGTAATAAGTATTACTTTTTAATAAAGCAATAGAGAATGTATTAGTTTGCTGTGTAAATACTTCTGCTTACCTAATAATAGAAGGTGTGATATTATTTTATCTATATGTATTAGATTTGATACCAGAGTTTAATTCCCTAATATGCTAAATTTTATATAAAAAAGTATCAACAAAATACACACTGCCACGTGAATTAACATTAAAACAAACATAACCTAAAAACATTCCAAAATATTAATTAAAAAAACATAACATTTAAAAAAACACTAATTAAAATCAACTATTTTTAGTTTAAAACTCCGCTATTAAAATATAAATCCGTATACACCATTTTTTAAACTAAAATGTAATTCCGTAGCCTCTCGTAGACAGTGCTACGAAATCGCTACATCGTTGCTACGAACGCCTTCCTGTAGCTACGCCTTTTACTCATAAAAAAGCGTGTAAAAAATGTTACATTTTGCCACAGTATATTATAATGTCTTCTCATTTTGTTTTATAATTGCAAATACTTTTGTTTTAAACCTTTCTTGTTTGTGTGTAAAAAGTTTTTAGAGGGTTTGATTCCTGGGCGGAATTTAAAGTGATATTTTGGATGAATTTTGGTAGTCAGAATGTAATTTTTTTTTACCCTCGATGTGTTTGATGATTCTCTAGTTACGGTGAATTGATAGCCAGACAACATGTCTGATTAAAAACTACTTCTCTTAAATTAAAACTTTATTTATTTATAATTTATATTAGTAAAAACCACTCGTTTTATATTAGAATATCTTCACTCTAGACATAAGTAAAAGGATAAGCTTAAATTTCCTTGTATTTCGTACAAAAGCGACTGAATTCAAAACATCCGATTATTAAATAATAATATTAAATATTTACAATACTTCACTTTACAAAATTATCCTGCATTTTTGACCCCAGATTCGGATGTATGATCTACAAACCTGGCCTAACCACAACACCACGAATTAAATCTAATCCTCACCACACAAATACAAAAATTCTTCTGAAAATTAACTTTTACAGTTATATTGTTTCAAGTATTTTAATAGGCTTCATCAAGTTTTTGAACGATTTAAGGGATGGAGTTCAAAACGTAATTATGAACAAGCTGGTCAGTTTCATTAAAGAATTGTACTCACAGCCCCCTGTGAATATACTTGATGGGAATCGTGTAGGATTATTTTTGAATCGTAACGGTTGCGGGTTGATGTCTATTGATGGTGTTAAATGCTATTTTATTTTTGTAATTTGTCTCAGTAGGTTCCTCTCGTAGACTGCCTCGTTGGCTGAGTGGTTACAAGTGCGACTGCCGGGCAAGGGGTCTCGAGTTCGATTCCCGGGTCGGGCAAAGTATTACTGGGTTTTTTATAATTTTTTTTAAACTCAGTAGTAGCACGGAGTCTGGAAATGTGCCCGGTATATGGCAATAGGCTCACCCCCTATTACATGGGTCTCATAACATAAATAGTGAAAAGTGGGTGTTACTTCTGTGTGCACCTCTGCCAACCCCTTCGGGGATAAAAGGCGTGATGTTATGTTATGTTATGTTATGTCTCAGTAGGTGACCTCGCATGCACACAAACATGTTGAAATACCATTAGGCATGTACATGAAAACCTCACATCCTCCTCTTTTTACACTCGATTTTTGAAAAATAAAGGTTAGAATTGTGAACACCTATCCTAATTAAAGCCCAATGTTGAATTCTTTCTTATTCTAAGAAACGATTGCGAACTAGCTGACAGATTAAAAAATTGTATTTATATTTAGGTCCGCGGTGAAAACTTGATCAAGTTATTGCATGATAGTAAAAAGTCAGCATACCTAGAGATGTGTCTTAAAACTAATAACTAATGGACAATTTATAATAGTATGTTAACAAAAATAATAAGTAAATACAGGTTTAATTATTGC